GTTTATAACTAAACCCAAGCTTGGAAAGTTTTAAAGAAAGTTTACTTTTTTGGCTTATTTTCATTTCTATTGGGGTATGTAAGGGTGTGTGCGTGTGTGTGTGTATCTGTGTCTCGCCCACCACTGTACAGTTTCAGTTTGACTTTATTTTGAACATTATCATATCTGTAACTTCTGTTTATTTTAGAATGAAAATTCCCATTTGATGTACTGGTATGAGCCTGTTGAGCAAGAGATAAGATGATTAGACTAGTTATCGATTATTTCCAAACCATCTTACTTTCCATATTTTCGCTCCTGCTTACCTACAGGCGATGGTTTTCTCACCCTCGCCTCACGTCCAGTTTTCGCATCTCCAATTTCCTTCAATTTTTAACAAAACTTTTGTATTTTCAATTCTTATCTACTGTCAAATTCACAGACTTGCCTATCTTTCGAATGCTTTAATCGTTACTTTACTCCCCACTCCTGTCAAACTCTCAACTAATTCCAGCCTTTGCCAGAGATTTTTGAATTCAATCATACGAAAGACACAAGCTCACCATGGTTCAGGGAGGTAGTTCATCTTGCTTTTCCCCAATCTCACCCTTCTCATCCTTTCAGCGGTAGTTGCTTGTGCAGTACTTGGGGTTATATGTATTGTCTTAGCTTCTATCTTATTCTATACTTATCGTAAAGCCATAAAAGCATTATTTAATGGACGACTCTTCACAAGTGCCGCTGCAAATCAATCTCGAAGGTTTACATCACATATAATAAATCCATGAGACGCACATAATTTTATAATTACGTAGTTTTAAAAGTCATATGTGATAGCTTAGGAATTTTTATTGTTTTTTTTTTCTAATTTTTATATTTCTCAGAGGTTCGTCTAATGATACTCAGTTACAAGAGGTCGTAGTTCAGAAACAGCGGTTCGTCCAGTTCTCCTTCTTCATTTTATTGTTCTCATTACAGGGCGGCTTCTACCAGAGAAGTAAGATTAGACATCGACCCTCCGGCGCCATTCTCTCCGGACGTTAGTTTACTTTTATTTTCTAGTGTATGTTCGATTTCCTAGGTTACCAAGCGTTCCACAACACCACATGTCACCACCGAGGCTTCTGTTGAACGAATATCCGAGGTGTGGTTTTTTTAATTTCTTTTGCTTACCTTTTTTATCTACTACCACTGTTTATAGCAAACAATCGAACTTGACGAGTTGGGAACACCAACCATCGAAGTGAGTCAGTTGAGTCTAGCACCAGTTGATAAATAAGTTTCAGATAGCTCCACCCGAAGATGTAGAATCGCAAACATCTTACGATGCTTATGTTGATCAAGTTTTTGCTTTACCGTCCACTCAACTCCAAGAAATGATGGTTGACCCTGAAATGGATGTGACGTCATCTTCCGGTGAAGCAACGATAACAGCTGGCAGAAACAGTCCTATCAGTGAAGATGATGAAAACCATTCAACAGCTATACTGTCTAGGAGTGAAGAATTACCTTCATTACGATTCTCAGATGTCTTCAGCGGAGCAATTCTCGATAAGATGAACTCGGAGGGTCATCGACAGGCTTTCATGCCTTATCAAGAATCTTTCAAACATTTCAGTGTTATTGGAGACCTAGAAATCAATAGTCAAGCACTTGCAACGTCCCCATCAGATCAATACACTTTGAAATACACTGCGGATTTACCAGAACAATCTTTACAACATCATGTAAATATTTGCCCTCCAGCCTATGATAACGTTGCCTATTCGAAAATTGATGATGAAGAGGATGAAATCATTCAACAAGTTTATGAAAGGCCATTGACTGTCCCCAGTATCTACTACTCTGTTCCACCTGAGGAATGTGAACATTATGAGAATCTCGCTTATGTTCCTGACTTGCCACAATCGCCTGTAGAGTACAGTCATATAAGCAACGTTATGGTCTCAGAATTCTCTTCCACTGAAAGCCTGGATGGAATCGATGTTCTGACATATTCTCCCGACTTGCCACAATCGCCTGTAGAGTACAGTCATGTTTGGAACACTATGACTGAAAGGTTCTCTTCAACCGAAAGTCTAGATAGTGTCGATGTTCTTAAATATACTCCCAATTTGCCTAATGAGCCGATTGGTATGTTTGTCAATATACGTAGGTACTCTTTCTCAACCACACTTACACCCATAGGTAGTTTGACTTCGGAAGAGTCTGAAATGGATCCACATACATACGAAGTGATTGAAGAAGAACCAATACCACATCTATTATATCATCATGATTTACCTCATCAGCCATTAAGTGATCATGTTGGCTTATATTATAATTCTCAGCATTTGGAAGTTTCGATGCACACCACACAAGCCGAAAGTGTGACGTCCGAAGATACGGAAGGTTATCTCAAGTCCTATGATGTGTTGACCGATCAAGAGATCTACGAATATTCGCCAGCGTCCTATACTCCTGAAATCTATGAAACTCTTATTTATTCTCATGATTTACCTCAAGAACCATATGAATCTTTATTGGACAAGCCTCTTATCGATTTCAGCGATGAGATTCCATACGAGCACGTTGAAGTTGCTTCCACGTCTTCTTCTTATTACGAGGACTATGAAATTTTGGCTTACATACCAGATTTGCCGCTTGAGCCTTACTATCCAATTGTTGAAAAGCAACTTATTCAGTTCAATGAAACTCTATATGACGTCGTGCCTCCTTCCTCTTCCGATGAGGAATACGAAGAATATGACATATTAGCTTATGTTCCTGATATTCCACAACAAAATCTCAACTTACATGTTGATGTTCTACCTTCGGTATCACATCACATACACAGAACAGTCGAAGTTGTTGAGCATCCTCGTATCATCAACCACCCTATACGTATCATCGATCGCCCTATTGAACACACTCACGCCACTTTTGATCATACTACACCGATGCCAATTCAAACTCTTTCATACAGTTCGGACTTACCCTCATTACCTTTCCATCAACAATACCATATATATCGACCAACAGAAAGGGGAGTTGAGCATCTAACCGGAAGTTCTCCTTATTTAGATCAAGAACCAATAGTGGTTCCAAAACCGCAAGAACTTCCAGAAAATCATCTAATTGAGAGTTCTTCTTATGCTTATGAGAGTTCTCTCCACAAAGACGCTGAAGACCATTTAGTGACTGATGAGTTCACTCAGCGGGTAAGCATTCTGGATCCGATTGAGGAAGAACCATCGCAACATATCATTGATAGCTCAACGTACGCTATTGATCTGAATGAGAAAGTGCGGCTAGACGTTGCAGATATTCTAGAAGAAGCTGCTAATCTCGATCAAGCAGAAACTGTACACAATGCTGCTCTATTAGAATCAATACGAGAAGATAGGAACCCGATTCACCCTATTAGCAGCTTCGTTCTGGATCAGTTGGCATTACAAGACGATTTCATGAGGAAGTATAACGCCCTATTAAGAAATTCGTTTGAGCTCCGATATAACAACGATTTCGATTTATCTTTAACTCCATCAGCTTCTGATAATCCAGACACGACTCCATCTTCTCTTACCAGCGTTAAGGAAGTAAGATATTCAGATAGCACACCATTCTACTCAAGCGTTGAGCCTTTCTCACCAAATGGTGATCTGCTTGAGGAACTAACTCGTCGGAACGCAAGGCTCAGAGGTGATTTGCATAGTTCATCCTACGTAGACGATATTGGCATGAGGATTCCACCTGTATCTTTCACTTCGTTCAATAGGGAACCAAGTGCATTCGATATAATACCAAAGAAAACATACAGTTTTGGAACGGGCGAAAATTATTCTGAACCTCTCACTACTCAAGAAAATCTTTCCGTGCAGTCTTCAACTAACACTGAACATACTTCCAAGCAAAGTATAGACGACATGATGCTCTCATCAATGAAGAGATCCAACATATCATTTGGTATAGGTGAAAATGTGACAGTAGCACATAGTACTAGTGGATCCTCTCATATTTCTACCACTGGCCAAACATCTTCCGTGAACCTAGGTCCAAGTATTGGTAAAGGAATTGAAATATCTCAACCACACAGTATAGGACAAGGTGTTTCTCTACCTAGTATAGGACAAGGTGTTTACATACCTCCATCTTATTCACAGGAAGTAGGAACGGCTGAAGATTCTCCACCTCTCAATTTTTCCAATTTCCAATGGCATTCTGATACTCTTCAAGCCATATACGACAAAGAGTTGAATGCTGATGTGTACGGCGATGCTCCATCTGGAACCACTGTGGTAAGCATACTCTTCTAATATGCACCTTTTTAACTTTTTCATATTCAGAGGCAGCAAAGATGAACAGGAAGTAGCCCTAGATGAAGTTGTACCATCAACACTTCAAATATTTTAATTTATTTTCCACTATGCTTTAATTTGTTTTCATTCGATGAATTACCGTAATAAATCACTGATATGAGCAGACTTGTTGCGTTGGGAGCTCCATCAGAGCACCTTAACTCTAACAGTGTAACGTCATCTCCATAAGTCTTTATTCCATAAAAGGAAAAAACATAGAAAATGAATCTAAACTCTTTTCATATGCATTTTGAAATATAAAGAATGGAGATAGATTAAAGAACATGGTAATGACCTCCTGATGAGAAGGAGGAAGGCTTTTGCAGTTCAATGCGGACCCATATTGGATACGGCGCGCTTTGAGTGGGAGTAGTCTGACATTCTATCTTCATCAGTATTCTCTGGTTCCTTTGCAATATTCCGTGAAAATCTTTCGCCTTTTACTAAAGATTTCCGTGCATAGGGACGCATATGAGTGTTTATTATTTTTGGAATCCCCTCGAAAGAGCGGGATAATAAGAACTTGAAAATGATCAATTCAATTGATTAGCAAATTGGTATTGTTGTGCTCGTCTGTAAGTTGCGTACGTACGTAATGTCGTTGTTTTTTAAAAAAATCTTTTCTACTGACTTTGCATATCCCTTTTCTTGGAAATTGCTTATTCATGTTCAATTTTTCTAGTAATGGATACAGGAGGGAGAGATTATGTTAAACAACATATGCCCATCATAGGACTCGGTACTTTTCAAGTTTGTCCTCAACAACAATCCTGATTTGAAGTTTCAGTTTAGATTCGTGAAGAAAGTACAATTTATGACATTGTAGATAAAGCATTTGAAGTTGGCTATCGCTTCATTGATACTGCTCAGTGTTATGGCTAGTTCACTGAATGTAATTAGTCTAAACTGATGTTTAGGGAATGAGTTAGTCATAGGAACTGCTTTGAAAAAACTTTTGCCTAAACATGGTCTTGAAAGGTTCATTCTACTTCCTTATTTGAGTAATATTCTCATTTAGAAAAGATGTTTTCATTACGACTAAGTTAGCTCCATCAAATCAAGGAGCGAAGAAAGCTGCAGACTCAATTGAACAGTAAGTATGGAGAAACTTTCTCATCGCATCGTCCTTGCAGATCTCTAGAGGACTTACAACTGGACTATATTGATTTGATGATTATTCATTGGCCTGGTGTGAACAAAATGAAGGTTTGAACTACGAAGAGTTATGAGAATAGCTTTATCAAAGGTTCACAGTCCTGAAAACGCTGCGTATCGACGGGAGAGTTATGAAACTCTACAAAGATATTACAGTTAGAGATTCCTTTAGGTTACCAACTGAAGATGTTTACTTTCAGAACAAGGAAAGTTGAAAGCCATTGGAGTTTCCAACTACGAGCTATGCCACATGGAAGAGTTACTCTCGTTCGCGTCCGTTCTTCCCGCTCTTAACCAGGTATTCTCCATTTCCTTGGTGGTTTTCTAAATTCTTCTTAGGTTGAATACCATCCTCACTTTCATCAAACTGATCTTGTTAACTTCTGTAGAGACAAAGGGATTCATTTCCAAGTTAGTTTGACAACTGATTCACAAATTAAGCATCTTTCATCACAGGCATATAGCAGTCTAGGTAGTCCTAGTCATAGAACGAATCTATTCAATGATGATCTGATCAAGACTATGGCAGAGAAGTATGGAGTTGACGTTCCAACGTTCCTTCTAGCCTGGGCGACTTCTCAAGTAAGTTGAAAGTTCCGTAATCTTCTTTCGACACATTGCTTTAGGGAATCAGTGTATTGCCCAGAACTACAAATCTTGAACGGCTAGAACCGAACTTCAAAGCTAAAGAAGTAAATGTTAAACAAGAGGATATCAACTGTGTTCTCGAAAATGGCAAACACAAGAAAGTCTGTTGGGATCCTAGTGCAATCACATAATGATTATCACAGAAGTGTTGTTGACGTTGTTTCTTTTTGAATTACAGGTTGTTATTAAATTTAATATAATGAAATGAATTAAATTACACGTGAAATTGGTTTGAACAGCGTCATTTTCAGTTCTGATCTATGAAGCTATCATGAACGGCCGCTCTTTTCTCCAAGATTTCAGAAATGGATCAGACTAACCGCTCTGATGATATACAGTTCTAAGAATGAAGTTGATCGACCGCTCACTCTTGATAAGTCTCAGAAATGAAATAGAATAACCTCTTTTCGGAATGTACTAACAAGCATGCAAGGTGAGCAAGCAAGTTCCGAAGCGATACTGTACAACCGCTTCATGATATACAAAGATCAGAATGGAAAAACATTTTTTCTTGATATATCAACAGTGTTATGACTCTCGATGACTTATTAGGATCATTAAGAATCAAAACTCATCTATCAGTTAAGACGTGGGAGACCATCAGATTAACACAACAGAACCGAAGTGCTTAGTACCAAATGTAACGTCCGATAACGGTACTACCTACTATGCGATAGTTTTTAAATCTTTTTGAAATGATTAATAGAAATGAGTTGACATCTCTCTGTCGAGGGAGAAAGCTCTCATATAAACACAAGCGTAACTTTCACTCCAAATATGTATAAGTACATAAGAACACGCATGTGTTATTCAGCTTGCAATACAATCAACGCATAACAGTGATGGTTACAGTATATCTGAAAAGTAATGTTAACTCGAAAACTCCAGTTGCGTACATACTGAATGTGTCGGTAAAACAACAACTCCTGAGTGTTGGTTCTATGGAACTGGAAGGAATGATATGAACCTAGTGGGTTATTTGTTTGTTTGCAGCTTTCAAGAGGAGAACAGAATGAAAGCGTTTGCCGATGCAAGCTCCAGTTTCTACTCAACTTCCGATTTATCAGATAACGTATGGATCACACTAGGAGCTACTCTGGTTAAGCTGGTGAGTCAATATTGTGCTTTAAACTCTGATTTTCATTGAACAGGAGTTGCCTGATAAGCTAGTAATTGCTAATAATTTGGTGAAAATGGCTGCCGCAGGACTTGAGATGTGTGGTGAAGCCCAACAAAAGGTCTTTGAAGATCTATCATACCCTAACCTTCATAACAGTTTTCAGATGAACTTTATTGAAAAGTCTTTTGAGTACTTGGGACCATGCTTGGACACTACTATTGGAAAGTAAGAAGTGTAGATGTGTTATCTTTGTAATCCCGATCATCTTCATAGAATCGAAGAATGTGAAGAAGAATGTGAAGCGATCCGCAAAAAAATATTTGCCCTCCAGAAAAGTCGAGAGGATGAGAAGGTGAGAAACTGATAGAGTATTACCAACACAATTGTATTGTTTCAGAATCAGAAAACCCGCGAACTTCTTGAATTAGAAAGAAAGGCTTCTATGAAATCGGCCAAGGAGGTAGAAGGCAGACGGTCACGAGCTGTATGTTCTTTGTGTCTAAGATATCTGATGTATTAATTATGAAATCCTACAGATGACTCGGAGGAAAGATATTAATGAAACTAAACCAAGCATCACCAAATTCAAATATCCGGTAGCCCGTTTCATTATTTCATTCAATTTCTTTTGTATTATAGATGAATGACAGTCTATTACCCGATGACACAACTAAATTGGTAAGATGTTCACGAATGATCGCTTCCTCCACTAATTGCTTTGTAGGCTGATGATTTCGAAACAGATAAAACTCTCTATGATGTTCATCGTACTAAACGAAGAGGATTGTCAGGTGCACGAAAAGCTGCTAAGGTAATTGCATTGACTGTTTCATACATTTACTTTCCTCTTTTCTTAAAGATTCTGTTCGGACGAGATCGTTCGACATCTGTCAAGTCCAAAGGAAAGAAAATCAACCTGTGAATACTTAATACTCAGATTTTAACTCGTTTTATACTCAAAAACTCTCTTTGTACAAACGTTTTTAGACCAATAAACCATTTTTTGGGATCTTCGTCATAACATATCTCATCAAGCATCTCATTCAGCTTCTTCACAACAATGAGATTGCCTTTGCATACGAAAAGTTTTTTATCTCTTCGTTTTCGGAGTAGAAAACGGCTTTGTGAATGTTGCGATCGATGCATTTTATAAGAAATAAATTTTTTAAATTGCGTTATTGCTTTTACTACCAAATTCATCCATCAGTCGTGGAATGGAAAGGGGGATTTGACATATTTGCTCGCCTGGAATCACCCAGTTTCTCTCTATATCTCTTTCTTTCTGTGAGCAGGTATTTGCGTTGCCGAGAAGCTTGGAAGCATATGTCTCATTTGGAATCGAAGCTTTCATCGTTGAGTTCTGTATGGGCTTTCTCTTGATTCTCTTCGTCCATGTTGTCATCAGTCGTAACGACAAAAATATCGAATTAGGAGTCGTATTTGTCATGAAAATTCGGCATAAAATATAAGTTTAGCCCTCTTCGTCTCCTAATTATAGGACGTACATAGCGAGCCTCCTCCCAGATTTTGTTTTTATTGTGTGAACAAGTTGACAGAGAATGACGATCAATATGAAAAAAAAACGAAAAATATTGATTTTCTCACAAAAAACGGCTGAAAAGGTTTTTTTCGAAATCAAAAATCTTTCATTCGATGTATGAACTGGATGAATGCATAGGAACAGAGAAATAATAATTGAATTCTTTATATTTTTCATTTTATGCTAAATAACTTCTCGTTCTTCGTCTACTGCCTCTCTCTCTTATACTTTCTCTTTGAAGCTCCTCATCTTCATTTCTTTCCTCTCATTTTCACGACTTAGTACGACTTTTTTTTTCGAAAAAAAAAAATTAATTAGTCTCCAGACGCTTTCGTTACGGTATATTTACATTTTCAATGGAACAGTTGTTTGTTCTAATTAGCATAATAGATGGTGCTTTTTGAATTTTCACGTTTTCACGTGGCGTCCTTCTAGCCTATTCTCATCATTATTCTCACTTTGCTCATGTCTGAGTTTGCTAGTGGTTGTCGAAAGCTGTATGTTCAAATCCAATCCTCATCATCATGACTATCAGGTTAGTTCAGTTTTCACTTTTTTTTTGTCTGTCGCATTTGCTGCCGTTCTCTCAATCATCGTTCATCCACATTGCATAGTTTAATCCCTTTTTTGGAAGTGTTCACGGCTGCAGAGAGTTCAGAAAACATAAATGTAATAATTCATTCCTCATTTAATTTTGATGAGAAATATGATGAAAAATCAGCTCGACTCTGGTTATGTGTATGTGTATGTGTGTGTATGTGTATGAAGAAGGGGGTATTCGGGTCTTTGGAACGTAAAGTAGAAGCACTGCCAGGCTTTCTTTCATTCTTCTCCATCCTTTTTTATTTTTCGAATGTTTTCCTTCAGTGAAGTCACCTAATGAGAACTAATTTGATTGTTTCAATAGCTATTTCAATGATATTCAATTAATTTGTTGAAAGAAAAAAATTTTTTTTTTATTTCTCTCAAAAGCTGATTCGAATTTGAAATGTCGCTGATGAGCCATGAAATGAAAATTTTTGAAAAATTTTTCTCTATTTCTCCATCAAGATGATAGCATATTTGAGAGAAAAAATATCCAAGAATAATGTGAAATTTCAAGGATTTTGCATTTGATAACAGTTGATGTTTGTAAAATGAAAAATGGCTTTTGCATTGTACTTTTGCTCTCTTACTCTTTGCCTTGCTTCTGTATCTCTCGCTCTCTTGCCTATATTCTAATAGATTGTTGCTGCTGATGAATAGTTTCCATGAGATGAAAGGAGAGAGAGAGACATATTGATAAGCTTTAACGGAAGTTCGAAAATTATTGTTGAGATTCTTGTTAAGAAATATTATATTCTTTGTCCTATTTGGCACATTTTTGTGATTATCAGCCAAAAAGTTGACGATGGGATTGGCTGGCTCGATCAAATTTGATTGTCATCACATGTTTTTAAAATATTTCAAAAATAATTCTTTTTTCTTATTCTTATTCTTCGTCTTCTCTTTTATCTTCTCTAATATCGTATACCTATGAATGGGTAGTGTGTGTTGAGATGAATACGATAAAGGAAAGACGAAGAAGATGTTTGAAATATTTCTATTATATTAACCATATATGATGGAGATAATAATGAATATGCACTTTCAATACATATTCCTTTACATGTATACATACACACAGTATAAATTAAAGGGATAAAGCTTAAAATACAAATTGGTATTGAAAATTAAGTGAGCGAGGGAGGGAAGTCCAAAGAGAGAGAGAATGGGAGGGAAATCCAAAGAGAGAGAGAAACAGTAAGTGAGAAGGAAAGGGAGTGAATAGCATTTCTGTGTGATTTAAGCACTTAATACAGATACAGCTTTCTGACTTGTGCTCCTTTAGTTTACAATTCAACATGTTGTAGCTCTGCTGGCATCAGCCCAAAAAAAGGTCAGCAGCAGCAGCAGTATCTAAAGAGGGAAACAAGAAAGAGATTGAACACGATCTAAATAGATGACGAGAAAGTTCAGTTATGGATGAAAAAACTAAGAGAACTGCCTTACAAAGAGTGAGAGAGAAAGGAAAGATGAGAGAAAGAGGGAAAGGGTGAGGGGGTGAGATGACGAGGTCAATGTGTGTCACATGTTTGTGAGTGGCGTTAGTTTAGTTATAACGAGCATTTGTTTTTTTTATCCTTATTTTTAATATTATTCCATTAATACACTCATTTTCGTGTTTAAATTCATCATTCAGCAGGCATCTCAGCTTCTGTTCATGTTCGTCTTTCATTTCTTGTCCAGTCATCTTTGTAAAGAACTTTTTCTTTTTTGACAAGCAAAAAGGTTTCCTGTAGAAAGATGATATGGAAGAAAGATCATTAAACAGCTAAATAAATATGATTTCGTTGAAATCGATGCTTCTGCTTTTAGCTCTCTTCATATGATTCTCTCTTTCTCTTCCCCTCTCTCTCTTTCTCTTTGTACTTGCTTCAGTTTTGTCATGT